AACAACTCCAGCTAAAAAAAAAAAAAAAAAAAAAAAAAAAAAAAAAAAAAAAAAAAATGATACATTCCTTTTTTGCTTTCTAGTTTTGCTCACTGTTATGTATACATATATGTCTAATAAAAAGCCATGAAAGATATCCAGAGATTCTTATCTAATGTATTTTAGTGCATATTATAAAGATACTATCTAAAGACAACAGTGATGTTCCAGTGCAGCTGCTTTGAAATAGAACAGTATAAGCCTGAGAGTTTCTGTCAGTGTAAAAGTTTTTTTGAATTTCAGTTAATTCACAGTTAGCAGTTAAATATAGTAATCAAGTAGGTTTGTCTTTATAATTTTATTAATTTTTTGAGATGTAAATATAATGTAAGCCTTTCTTCTTCTGGAAGTCATGTATACCCCAATGGTAAGACTTGGGACTTTAGGCATATGGAGAGTGATAGTGATTGATCAGTCCTTTTTCGTTAGCATTAGGAAATAGCTGAAAAAAGAGTGACACCCATGGTTTTGTACGGAGCTCTTTGAACACAGTGATGCACTAGATGGCACTGTTGGTTTTAGTTTTGCTGCTGTCTTCCTTTTCTAGGGAACTTGTCTTAATTAGCTGCCTTTTGAAAACAAACATGCTGTTTCAACAGAGGGTCAGTGTACATTGTTCTGGGCTGCTGCTTTTATGTTTATAGTCATGTAATCAATATGTTGGAAGGGTAATTAATTTTTAACTTCAAGCCAATTGTAGATCAAATGCCAGTAGAGTTACTGGGTGGAGACAGTTTAATTTCTTTTGAAGCAATGATACTGATTAGCTGTAAAGGGTTTGCACTGAGTTACTAGAGATCCAGAAGACCTTTTGCTTTGAAATACTGGTGTTAACTTTAAAGTAACATTATTACTGTGATACAGATTAATGAGTTGTGGCATAATTCTGATAAAGTTCCTCTCATGTACTTGCTATATTTTGTCCTGTCAATTCCTATTTCAAAGCAGCTTTATTTGCTTTGACTATTCCGTTCCTATCAAAGAATAGTACAAAGTCAACATAAAATTGATCAAACTCACTTTCTGCTTTTTATCCTTTTTTTCTCATTATCTGTCTTCAGGGACTCTAGAGGGCCCACGGCTAAGGATGAGATGTGACCTTCCATACAGCAGCAGATAGGATACTATAACAAGCTGGGCAATTTTGAAATCTCTGCAACCCATACTTGGGGAGCACACTGGTGTCCAGGCATCCCTTACCTTTCTCCTGCTGTCTAGGGCAGCTCTGGCCATATCTCAGGGTCCGTACTTGGAGATACTTGCTAGCTCGATATTTCCAGTACTTTCAGCCCATCCCCTTGATGCTTCCTTGTCCTCTGAGCTGACCTTTCTTGATCATATTTTCATCTGTTCTCTCTCTTTCATCTTCTTCCTTGCCTCTGTTCTTCAACATTCAAACAAATTAGAATCTCAACATTCATCTCTCCATCTCTGTCTTATGACTTTAACATCTTCTTCCTGCTCCTTTTTTACAATCAATAAACGGGCCATTTTCATGGATAGGCCATCGATCCCTTCTCCAGGTGTCTGGATTCTTTCTGATCTAGTGTCTGTACTTTCCATTACATTAAAATTTCACTACAGGCTCTGGCTATCCATTCTTGGGCAAGTCTCAGAGTCTCTCTGCTGTCCTCATCTTCCTTGATCTCTTGGCTGACTTTTGATACTTTGATCATTTAATTGGATTTCATGCCAAGTA